GCACATACTGGACACCCAGTAGAGGGGGTCAGTACACTTGCATGGCCTGAAGACCCTTGTTGCCTTAGTTAGTCAAGGGGTCTGAGAAACAACTCCCAGAAATGGTGAGTGACTGGTTCGGGATACCTGCAATCCAGTGATTCTGATCCCCAAGCTGGACCACCTTCCCAGCATTTGAACCCCCTCTGATGCTCTGAGAATATGTGACTTCATTGGAGAAAAAATACTGAAGCCGCCTTCAATTTGTGGTTAAGGAAGGACCCTTGTTCCCCACTCCTTGTGTGTTTACTGGCAGAGAGGAGGAGGAAGAGGGCATTCCCACTATCCCTCAGCAGGAGCGATTGGGAAAGGAATCCTTTCAGCACCACAGGACTCAAGAAACTACCCAGCACAAGTGCAAGAAGACACGCACTCTTCAGCCCAACCAGGGCATCTGTGAACCCTGTTGGTGTCAAAGAACTGACATTGTGCAGATCATGTTCTTTAACTATAGTGCATTTAATTTAGAAATCAGTAACAAAAAAAGAAATCTAGGAAACCCCCACACATTTGGAAATTGTAAGCCACACTTCCAAACAACTCAATGATCAAAGAATCCTTAGAAATGAGAAAATATAGCCAGGTGCAGTGGCTCACGTCTATAATCCCAGCCTTTGGGAGGCGGAGGTGAGAGGATTGCCTGAGCCCAAGGTTTTGAGACCAACCTGGGCTATATGGCAAGAAACTCATCTCTACCATCTCTAATAAATCCAAATATTAGCCGGGAGTGGTGGCGCTCACCTGTGGTTCCAACTACTTGGAAGGCTGAGGCGGAAGGATCACCTGAGCCCAGCAGGTCGAGGCTGTGGTGGCCATGAGCATGCCACTGCCCTCCAGCCTGGATGAAGAGTTGGACTCTGACTCAAAAAAAAAAAAAAAAAGGCGGCGGAGGCAGGGGGGAATATGTGAAATGAAACAATGAGAAAAAAATCGTACATACTGAAACTTAAGGGATTCATTCGAGATTTACTGAACCTCCACTATGTCCCAGGCATTCTACTAAGAACTAGAAAAACCCCAGCAACAAAGAAAAGCCCATGCCCTGCTGGAGCTAAATCTAGTCAGATGAGCTGAGCAGTTACAAATCCATGTGTGTCCCTGGATGCCAGTTCATGAACCCAGGCTAAGGGAATGGAGGAAAAGGAGCTGGCATGGGAGGAGCCACCACAGTGCTCACCAAGGCCTCTGGGAAGGAAACAGGGAGGATGGAAGGAAGTAGTGAATCTTGATTTTGAATTTAGAACCATGAGCATGTATTACCTCGTACAAGTTCATCTTTCCTACATGCACAGAATAAATAGCATGACTTGTTCCATTAAATAAGAGAATGAGGCTACATGATATAAGTCGAGAATGTCTTCGTGGAAAAAAATATATGAGCTCTTTATTAAAGTAACTGTGCTAATGCTGTCTACAAGAGAACACAGCAACACCGGAAGAGAGTTCTATTTCCTTTCTGACATGACTGGTTGTCTGGAGAGCTAAAGGACAAAAAATTATCTGGCCAGAATCCCCACAGCTCAGGTGCAGGCAGGGGAAATGCATGGCTTTCCCAGGCAGCACCTGCTGCTGGAGCTTTGAGGTGTGCAGCCCGTATCTGCCACGTGGTGTTGAGATCCAAGACAGAGTCACTGCGGCAAGATGGGGTGAACTCCCAGGAGCCATCTACTGTCCCAGTGGTCCGTAAACGAACCACAGACATTTAGCTCAGCCCACCTGGGGATAGTTTTAGCCCTTTTGGTTGTGAGAACAAACTGAAGTCTTTCATCTGTGCAACCTACATTCCAGTGGAATATAGCAGACCACTCCCTAAGATAACTTTAGGTAATAGTAAATTGTGTGCAGAAAATAAACCAAGGTGAAGAAATGGGTAGTGACTAGGGGCCCTATGGTAGTCTGGGTGACTAGAAAAGGTCTCCTGAAAACAATATTTAAGCTGGCAATCAGAAACCAGTGCAAAAAATCTGTGGCAAGAGTCTTGGGACCAAGGGAAAAGCTTGTGCAGAGAGCTGTGGGCAGCAAGCAAGCTCAGAAAGTGCCAGAAGTGAGAAGAGAGGAGCAGTGGAGACCAGGACAAAACCAGATCCGTGGGCCTGAAGGACAGGTTCGGGGGCTTGGATTTTTTTTTTTTTTTGAGTGGGAGTCTCACTCTGTCGCCCAGACTGGAGTGCAGTGACCGCTCCTGGCCACCGCAGCCTCGACCTGCTGGGCTCCGGCGATCCTTCCACCCCAGCCTTCCGAGTAGCCGGAATTACAGGCGCGCGCTACCACACCCGGCTGATTTTTTGATTTATTGTAGAGATGAGGTCTCGCTGCCCAGGCGGGTCTCGAACCCGCGGGCTCAGGCCATCCACTCACCTCAGCCTCCCAAAGCGCTGGGATTATAGGCTGAGCCACGGCTAGCGGGGCTTGGATTTGATGTTAAATGTGATGAAGCCCTTGGGAGACTTACTCATGGAAGTAACATGATTTTCAAAAATGGTTTTAAAAGATCACTCTGCCTGGATGTAAGGGGTGGCCAGCGGAAGCAAGAGTGGTTGGAAGAATCTAAGTGAGAAAGGACTACGGAGCGATGTTGAGGATGAAGAGGGGGCCCACTCAGGACGACTAAGCGGTGGAGAGTGTGAGACTGTGAGGTGAAACAGAAGGAAAGTCAAAGGCGACTCACAGGTTATTGCATAGAGTGGGCCACACTTAGTGGTTTTTGACGCTTTTATGTCAGGCACAGCCATAAGTACTCTTACACACACACACACACACACACACACTTGCTGAATTCTTACAGGAGTCCAGTAGGGAAAGTAATATGATTATCCTTCTTTCTTTTTCTTTTTTCTTTTTTCGAGTTGGAGTCTCACTCAGTTGCCCAGGCTGGAGTGCACTGGCATGCTCACGGCCACCCAAACATCGACCTGCTGGGCTCCGGTGATCCTTCTGCCTCAGCCTTCCAAGTAGCTGGAACCACAG